CCCCCCCCCCCGGGGGGGCCGCCGTCGTCGTTCGCCCCCTCCCCGGGCTCCGGGCGGCACCTGCGCGGGACTCGGTACTGCGGAGCGCCTCGGTGGGCCGAGCCCAGCTGATCGGAGCGGTTGTGCGCCGGTTGCTGCCGCCTCTGCTGTCCCCCGAGAACCCCCGGACCGGGGTCCGCCGTGCCTCCGGGTGGTGGCAGAGCGGCGGCGGGGAGCTGAGACCTCCCTCCCGGTGCACGGCCGGACCCGGGCACCGCTGCCATCAGCGCTGGCACCGGGTCCCTCGCTCTACCTGCCGCCGGGGTCCCCCAAGGGCAAACCCGGCTCAGGCTTTGTGCGCTTCCCGGGCCAGGCCCCTGCTCTGTGCCTCCGGGAATTGCACCGGCCATCCCCTGCTCGTGAGTCCCCTGCGTGACCGTGCTGCCCCAGTGCTGGCACTGCATGTCAGCATCTCCCCAGCCTGCAGAAGGGCACCCATGGGTCTGGCTGCTCCTGGCCCTTGAGCATCCTCTGAGCTCCCTCCTGCAAAAATGTTGAGCCTCAGGCCCAGTTCCTGCCACCTCTGCAAGAGCTGAGCTGCAGCTGGACAGGGACACGGGGGGCTCTGGGCCAAGGGGGTTCCCTGAGCTCCCAATGGGCAGTGGGTCACGTGTGTGATTTTTCTAAAGCAGCCCCCCTAATTGTGCTTACGTCGGCGTTGCTCACTGACACAATAGGTCGTGTCCGCCCGGGACCGCCTCCCCGCTCCTGGCAGCCTATTTTAAGCCGGCAGAGCTCCGGTCCTATTAATACCTTGTGTGGGGGCTGCTCCGTGCTGCCTGCCCTCCTGCCCCAGCAACCCAGGCTTTGGGGACCTCGTGCACACTGCTGCCCGTTACCAGGATGGTGAAGATGCCTCCCCAGGCTACGTGGCACCTCAAGGGCTGTGCGCTCATGGTTTTCCCAGGGGACCTCATGAGGTCCCCAGTCCCTCCTGAAGCCCCCGCTCTGTCTGCTCCCTACAGGGATGAGCGGGAGTGCATGTGGCTGCTTCACCTCTCTTTGCCTCTTTGCTGCACGCAGCCCCGGTGCTGCTGTGCGTCACCACAGGGTTTGGCCTTTGGTGAAGGTCAGGTGGCGGTGAGCCAGAGCTGGAGAGGGCACTGCTGATGGAGGAGGTCAGCCTGGGACGGCACCCCCAGCCCCTCCTGGTCTGCCACATGGCTCTGGGTCCCTGCAGGCCTGGTATTTCCCCGATGCTGGAGGGCTGCAGGTTCCGATCTCTGTGCAGTGCTGGATCCTGCAGCCCTGAGATCCTCAGGCTGAGCCCCAGGCACCACATGGGCTGAGGCCTTCGTTTGGGTGAATCTGGTGGGGATGGTGGGTGGGCACGCTGCTGAAAGAGCACACAGGCATTTGCTGCTTGCACTCCTCTGCTATTCTGTGTTTGGAGATGGTGATCCTGCCTGTGTCCCCAGGGAGGCTCTTATGTCCGCAGGCAGGAAAGGGGAACGGAGCGCATCCTCTGCCATTTAGCAGCAGGGAAGATTGCTCAGGTTTTGTCCAGGCTCATGGGGAGCTGCTGCCTCTCCAAACCCCATCCTGGTCCGTGTGCATCACCGTGTCTGTGTCTCTGTGGTCAGGTTCTGGGGAGCAGCTGCCTGGCCCCAAATCCCCTGAGGATGCTGAGGCTGTTCTGGGGCTCTGTATGTCACAGCCAGCCTGGCCCCCCCTGGCTGCAGTTCGGGCAGAGGGCACCCACTAATTGTGGGCTGCAGGCAGACCCTGCCTGATGACTACATGGAAGCATTTGCGGGAAGAGTTGCAGGCTCTGTTATTCTATGGGATTTCCAGAAAAGGTTGGAGTAGTGAATCTGAAAGTAGAGTCAGTGTCCGTGCTGGGAGCCCGGGGCTGGCTGTGCTGAGTCCGTTGGCCCCACGCAGCGATGGGAGCGCAGCTGTGTGGGGATGCAGCAGGGAGGGCAGTGTCCCCGTGTCCTCCTGGAGGAGCTGCTCCCTGATTCTTCCCTGAGTTCAGAGCAGAAAGTTTTTGTGAGCTGGGAAGATGCTGAAGGGGGGTGCTGGGCCCGTTCCTTCCCGCTGCAGGCTGTGACCCTTCCCAGCACCCTGCTGTCCGTCCCCTTCCTCACTGTGAGCTCTGGAGCAGTGCCGTCGCTCTGCGTGGGGGCCGGGCTCCATAGCCCCTCACTGGGAAGTGGCAGCTGGTGCAGCAGGGGGTGGATGTGTCACTCGGTCTTCTTGGCAGGGAACAGAGGAGTGGAGAAGAGCCCTGGCTGTGCCTGGCCTCCTGCTGCCTCTGCTGCTGGCTGCCCACACCTCACTCGTGCTGCCCAGCCTGGGCCAGGGTAGCAGGGAGAAGATGGGACGCGGCACACGGCTACGGATGTGTCACAGCCCCATTAGACCCAGAACAGCAGTGTCACCAAACGCAGTCCTGCTGGGTCAAGGTGTCCTGCTCCTCTCCACTGGGCAGCAGAGCTGTGGCTCCTTCCAGTGCTCCTCAGCCCCAGAGGCTTTTGGTTCCTCTGCGTCCCACTGTTATGTGCCGTTGCACTGCTGGAGATTCCCCCGAGGATAACGGGAAGGGAGCAGCAGCTGGGCGGCTCCGTGACCTGATGGGCCCGGCCCTGCACTCATTTAGCCGGGTAAGGAGCGGAGTCACGTGGCACCTGAGATTAGGATTGCTGTGCTTGCCAGGGCACTAATCACCGCAGGTAATTGGCTGAAGTGCGGTTTAGCACACACTGCAGAGCCGGGCAGGGCGTGGGGAGCTGGGTTTGGACGTGTTGTCCATGCCCGGCTGGGTGCCGGCAGTCAGCATTGCGGTCAGCGTCGCCGTGGGCTCGGAGGTTGGTCGGCTGCGCGGCTGTGATGCGCTCAGCTGCCCCGTGCTGGAGCTCTGCCCCGCCGCTGGGATTCTCCGTGCTCCCCGCAGGCGGTGGCGGGGCTCTCCCGGCCGCAGCGCCGCGTCCTCCCACCCACGCTGCTGACCTACTTTGTACCTTCGGAGCTCTGCCCGTCCCGCTGCTGCCCGCGCCCGGCCAAGCGCTGGGCACGGAGTAGCGCATCCCAGCTCGGCCGGCTGAACGCGCCGGAGCAACGCGCTGCTAGGAGCAGCGGCTTCGCTCTCCCTGTGCGTGAGCCCGGCGGCAGCGGGATGTGGATGCACGAAGCTGCAGCGAGCGCTGGGAGGTGCTGAGCGGCGCGTGCCCTGTGGCTCTCCTGAGCCCGTGCAGGGGCTGTGTCCGCTGCCAGCTGTGGGTGAGGGCTGCTCCGGAGCAGCTGGAGGCAGGTCCCGGCAGCTGCTGGGTGCGAGCGGGCCCCCCGCCCCGCGTTTCCTTTCCGGATGGATTTCCTGTTTTCTGCGCTGGGGCCCGGTGTAGGGGTGGGGCGCGCACCGGGCTGGGTGTGGGTCTGCAGGGCCTTGCAGCTCTGGCCCCGGCACGGCAACGAAGCTGCGCTCCCGGCTGCCGACAGGGCCACCTGCAAGTGGGTGCCGGGGTCTGGAGCTGCGGGGCAGCGCTGTTCTCAGATTGCTGCTCACAGGAAGCATCCTGACAGTGGTGTAGACGCTCAGCCCTTCCCGTGAGCCTGATGCCAAGCACTCCATGCCCAGCACTGAGGCTCAGCTTTGGGCTGAGCATCTCAGCAGGATGCCCTTTGTGAGCATCCTCTCCCTGCTTGGGCAAGCTGAGCTGGGTCCTCAGATGTTCCCGTGGCTTCTACCTCTGATCCAGCAGCGTCCAGCTAGCTCTGGCATAGGAATGGTGATAAGTGTGGTTTTTCCCTTTCTTTGGGGCGTCATTTCCCATTCACCCTTGGCCTGGAGCTGGCTATCTTGTCCTGATTGTCTTTGGTCAGGGCTGCCTGGACCCATAGAGCCAAATCCAGACCTTTTAGAATGAAACACTGCGGTGTGCATGCCTGGGCTGCCAGCCTGTGCTGCAGCAGCTCTGCCATGGAGATGTGAAAGCTCTTGAAGTGCTGGAGGAGACACTCCATTGTCCACAAACCCTGGCAGCTGGGAAGAGCCTGCATGTGCCAGAGATACCAGAGTTCCTGTGCCATGTGCCAGAGATACCACCAGATTAGAGGTGACTCACCATAATCTTGAAGAAGGGGATTAAATCTCCCTGCTGCACTACTTAATGAAATCTATGCCATAATATGCTCCCAGCCCTGCTGTTCCCCATCCCATCCCCCTTCACTTCAACCCATTGGTGGTAGGGTCTTCTCTTCCCCACCCTGGGGAACTGCTTCCTGCGTTGCCTGGGGTTGGTGCCTGGGGATGCAGGGCACAGTGGGTACAGGGGGGTCCTGCCAGGACCTTTCTCTTCCAGCATCCAGCAGACCCGGGGAGAGCCTGTGCACTGCTTTACCCCTGGGGGTGAGCAAGCGGTGGGGCAGGATCCGGCTCAGGGCCGGGAGCAGGAAGGAAGGAAGGAAGGAATGCAGAGTTAAAATAAGCCTGGCAGTGGGGGGAGGCCCCAGCTGGAGCAAACTCCTGACCTCCTGGGCCAGGGGAGAGGGTCCAATGAGTCCAGAGGGCTTTGTATGGCGTGGAGCTCCTGGGACCCCTGCCTATGCGTCAGGGCTGGGGTGGGAGCCTGGGGGACGGGGAGTGCGTGGTGCCTTGCCCTGATGGCTCTGCTCCTTCTGCCATCCCGGCAGGATGGCTCCCGGCAGCGGCCCATGCAGAAGAAGACAGTGTCCTTCAGCACGATGCCCAACGACCGGAAGATAAACAGTGCAGCTGCCTGCATCTCCTTCATGCTGGAGGGCTGTGAGCTGAAGAAGGTGCGCTCCAACTCCCGTATGTACAGCCGCTTCTTCGTGCTGGACGCCGACATGCGCTCCGTGCGCTGGGAACCTTCCAAGAAGGACTCAGAGAAGGCCAAGATTGAGATCAAATCGGTGAAGGAGGTGCGCGTGGGCAAGAAAACGCCCATCCTGCGCAGCAATGGCCTCTCTGACCAGTTCCCCGATGAGTGCGCCTTCTCCATCATCTATGGAGACAACTACGAGTCCCTGGACCTAGTGGCCAGCTCAGCCGACGTGGTGAGCGCCTGGGTGATGGGGCTGCGGTACCTGCTGTCCTATGGGAAGCACACGCCCGAGGCCCTGGGGTCCGGCCACCCCAGCCTGCGCACCTCCTGGATCTCCTCCGTCTTCGACCTCGCTGACCTGGAGAAGTCCGGCCGCATCCCCGTGTCCCGCGCCGTGCAGCTCATCAAGGCGCTTAACCCCGGCATGAAGGTGTCCACCATTGAGCTGAAGTTCAAGGAGCTGCAGAAGGCCAGTGAGCGTCCTGGCACCGAGGTGGCCTGCGACCTGTTTGTGGAGGCATACTGCGAGCTCTGCACCCGGCCCGAGATCTTCTTCCTGCTGGTGCAGTTCTCCAGCAACAAGGAGTACCTGGGCCTGAAGGACCTGCTGACGTTCCTGGAGGTGGAGCAGGGCATGGAGGGCGTCACGGAGGAGAAGTGCTTGGAGATCGTCAGCAAGTACGAGCCCTCCAAAGAGGGCCGGGAGAAGGGCTACCTGGCCATCGACGGCTTCACCCGCTACCTGCTCTCCTCCGAATGCTCCATCTTCGACCCACAGCACCGCCGTGTGTGCCAGGACATGGCGCAGCCTCTCTCCCACTACTACATCAGCTCTGCCCACAGCGCCTGCCTGCTGGAGGACAACTTCTGGGGCCGCTCGGACATCAGCGGATACGTCAGCGCGCTGGGGCTGGGCTGTCGCAGCATTGAGCTGGTGCTGTGGGACGGCCCCGATGGGGAGCCCGTGGTCTACACCAGCCCCTCGGCCGCCTCCTGCGTGCCCTTCCGCTCCGTGGTGGGGCTGATCGACCAGCACGCCTTCACCGCCTCCGCCTACCCGCTGATCCTCTGCCTGGTGGTGCGCTGCTCTGCCGCCCAGCAGCGCCTGGCCGCCCAGTGCCTGCGCAAGACGCTGGGCGAGAAGCTCTACCTGGAGCCGCCCAACCCCGCCGCCTCCTACCTGCCCTCCCCGGAGCGGCTCAAGGGCCGCATCCTGATCAAGGGCAAGAAGCTGCCGCCCGGCTGCGAGGACAGCGAGGGGGAGGTGTCGGACGACGAGGAAGGCCGGGAGTTGGCGCGGAGGCTGGGCCAGGAGGACCGCGAGGCAGCGGAAGGGGGGGCCCCGCAGCGCGTGCGGCTCAGCCGTGAGCTCTCGGAGCTGGTGAGCCTCTGCCAGGCCGTCCCCTTCCAGGACTTCGAGAGCTCGCGGCGCGGGCAGCGCTACTGGGAGATGTGCTCCTTCAGCGAGGTGGAGGCGGGCCGCTTCGCCAACGAGTGCCCGGCCGAGCTGGTGAGCTACAACAAGCGCTTCCTCTCCCATGTCTACCCCAGCCCCATGCGCATCGATGCCAGCAACATGAACCCACAGGACTTCTGGAAATGCGGCTGCCAGATGGTGGCCATGAACTACCAGACGCCGGGGCTGATGATGGACCTCAACACGGGCTGGTTCCGGCAGAACGGCGCTTGCGGTTATGTCCTCCGCCCCGCCATCATGCGGGAGGAGGTCTCCTACTTCAGTGCCAACGCCAAGGACTCCCTGCCTGGGGTGCCCGCACAGCTCCTGCACCTCAAAGTCATCAGCGGGCAGAACCTGCCCAAGCCAAAGGGCTCGGGGGCCAAGGGGGAGGTGGTGGAGCCCTACGTCTGCGCTGAGATCCACGGCATCCCAGCTGACTGCGCGGAGCACCGCACCAAGACGGCCCTGCAGAGCGGGGACAACCCCGTCTTCGATGAAAGCCTGGAGTTCCAGATCAACCTGCCTGAGCTGGCTGTGCTGCGCTTCGTCGTGCTGGATGACGACTACATCGGGGACGAGTTCATTGCGCAGTACACCATCCCCTTCGAATGCCTGCAGCCTGGCTACCGCCACGTCCCGCTCCAGTCGCTGTCTGGGGAGCCCCTGCCCCACGCCACCCTCTTTGTGCACGTGGCCATCACTGACCGCCGCGGGGGGGGCAAGGGGCACCGCCGGGGGCTGGCAGGGCGCCGGGGCCGCCGGGTGCGCGAGTATACGTCCACCAAAGCCACCGGTATCAAGGCCATCGATGAGGTCTTCCGGACGGCCACTCAGCCCCTGCGGGAGGCCACCGACCTGCGGGAGAACGTGCAGGTACTGGAGCCACACGGCACTGTGGGGTCTGGGGAGGTGGTGCTGGGCTGCGGGTACTGCAGTGCTCCTGGCCCAGCCCGACACTGCTCTCTGCCCGCAGAACGCGCTGGTCTCCTTCAAGGAGCTGTGTGGCCTGACGCCCGCCGCCAACATGAAGCAGTGCATCCTGACGGTGGCTGCGTGGCTGCTGCACAGTGACAGTGTGCCCAGCGTCACCCTCAACCTGGCTGAGCAGTACCCCCCCATGGAGGCACAGGGCCCCATACCCGACCTGCTGCGCAAGGTCCTCACTGCCTACGAGACGGTAAGTTCTGGGTCTGGGTGCTCTGGGGTCCGTCCTGCTCCAAGGTGTTTGCCTGCAGCCCTGTGCACCGGGGAGTCCCAGGATGGGTCCCGTCCTGGAGCAGGGAGGGCTGGCTGGGAGGTGCTCTGCAGGCATGGGGTGTAGGGAGCACAGAGGGCTCGGGGCTGCGCAGCTCCTCTCACTGCCCCTCTTTCCTCAGATGATCCAGACCAGCCGGACGCTGATCGAGTCTGCTGACGCAGTGCACAGCAAGCTCATCCAGGCGCAGCAGGCAGGTGGGTCTGGGGGTGCTGAGTGCACAGTGCTGTGTGCAATGTGCTGCGCCTCCTGGGGATGCTGTCCCCACAGGGGTCTTCAGAACAGCACCAGGCTGTGCGCAGAGTGTGCTGGCATTTCAGTCTGTGCGTTGCACGCCTGCAGTGCACAGCAGAGGATGAGTGGTGTGGGCATCAGTGCTCTGGGGCAGCACCTGGCTGGCTCGGGAGAGAGGCTTGTTGGGGCAGCCCAGGGCTTAGCTCTTTGGCCTTCCCACATCCTGGCCTTGCTGTGAGGAGTGGTGCAGGGATCTGCCCAGAGCCCGCAGTGAGGGAGCACTGTTGGGGCCGGGGGGCTGTGGGGGGCTGGGAGGGAGCGCACGGAGCGGAGGAGGCTGATGAGGAAGCAGAGAAGAGTCATTAGCTGCCAAACGCCAGAGTATAATTAGCATCAGAAATAACAGACTGAGGCTGACGGTAGAAGTCGCAACTGAATGTTATGACTTAAAAGACACATGGCTGAACCCACGCAGACAGGTGCTGCTGGCTGCCTTATCCGGCCCCGGGACCCATCTGCCCCAGGCACCACTGCCCCGCTCCCAACACCGTGCTGCTGGTAGGCACTAACGGGTAACGCCAAGGTCCTGTGTGCTGTAGAGGCAGCTGTGGCTGCTCCGTGGGACTGCTGGCCCCAGGACTGTGTGGGGGCACCCTGTAGGGCTGGGGGTGTTCTGGGCACTGTAAGGGACAGGGAGGAGAGGGTCCGTGCTGTGCAACCCCTGCCAGTGCCAGCTGCTGCCAGCAGCCCTGTTTGTTCCTTGCCTTGGCTGCATGACAGCCCAGAAACCTCCCCAGGCATTTGACTTTGAGCTCTGTTGCTGCTGTCAGTGATGAGGAGCACAGCAGGGGGGCTGGAGGTGCGGGCTGGGGGGGGCTCTGCATCTCCTGCACCACGTTGGCTGTGGGAGCCCTCTGCTGTGCTGCAGAAGTGAGCAGTGCCCCGTGTCCCTTGTCCTCCCTGGGGGCAGAGGTCTGGGGTGTGCTGACCCCTACACTGGGGGCCTGCAGCCATGACCTCTGTGCCTGAGTGCTGCTCCCTGCATTCACCCCACTGTGCCATGGTTGAGCCACAGCTGTATGGGCGCTGTGGGGTCTGGGGGTGCCGGCGGTGGGGCTGGGGGTGTGGGGAGGTGTGAGCTGATTGGCAGCGTGTGGGTGAGCAGGCGTGTGTGGGAGCCCTCGTGTGGGCCCAGAGCCAGTGCTGCGTCAGGGAGGGGTAAATTTAGCACCTGCTCACAAGAACATCATGTGCAGTGTGGGGGCACATGCTCCAGCATGGGGGGGAGGGGGGAGGGGCAACTGCTCCTCTCTGAGCCCCTCTGGGTGGGCTGTGGTATGGAGGGGCTGTGCCTCTGCCTGGGGTCACTGCAGCCCATCTCAGTCCTGTGGGCTTTGGGATCCAAACTCAACAAAGGATGGCGGTGAGGCGGTGGGGGCTGTGTTGGGACATCATTCCTTATTGGGAGGGGGCTGCTGAGGCTGAACACGAGGTTCTCTGCTGGGTGATGGACGTCCCGTCCCCATCCCCTGTGGCAATGGCTGTCCCCCCACGCACCGTGGAGCTGAGCAGAGCTCTGTGTGCCACAGGTATGGACTTCCACAAGGAGCTGCACCGCATCGAGGCCAAGGAGGGACTGCGGGGACGGAAGTTGCAGAAAGCACTGGAGAGCTTTGCCTGGAACATCACCGTCCTGAAGGTGAGAGGAGCACGCTGTGCCCCTGTCCCCTCTGCTGCTGACCCTGCTGGTGTGCAGGGAAGCAGGACCAGCATCGAGGAGATGCTCCAGAAGCACAGGCTGGTTGTGGTCCACGATAATCCTGAGCCCAGCACATCCCTGTGCTGCATGGCGTGGCCATGCACTGGAGGTGGCACAGAGGGACTCAGCAACGTGGCTGCATTCCCTGATGTCTTCTCCCCCCGGCAGGGCCAGGCTGACCTTCTCAAGCATGCCAAGGCGGAGGCGCTGGACAACCTCTGGCAGATTCACAACGCCGGGCAGTCCTGTGGCATCGGCAGGAACGGTTTGGCCTCGCCGGAGCCGTCCCGGCTGCGCGCACCACTGGAGCCCATTCCTGAGGCAGAAGGAGGCAGCGATGCCGCGTCCTGCTGACCCCGGCCTGGGGCTCAGGCAGCCCCCATGGAGCAGCCTCTGCTGCAGGAACAGGAACTACAGAGCCTGTGTCACGGTTGGGGATGGGAATAGGCAGGGTGCTGAGGGGCTGCAGTGGTGCCAGCAGTCATCCATCTGCCTGCAGACACTGCAGGGCACTGGGGGGCCCCACTCCTGTCTGCTCCCTCCAGCTTCCCAGGCCTCTTCCATCTGCTTCCAGAGCGGGTGCTGTGCTGTGGGACCAGGGGGTTGGACTGCTGGTACCTGGCTGTGTGCATGCACCCCCAGCCTGCTGTGCCACCAGCCCTGTAAGAACTGCCCCTGTGTGGGCTCTGGCTGTCAGGGCTGCAGATTCTGCCTTTGCCAGCCCTGGAGACTGCCTGCATGGCTGGAAGGGGTCTGTCCAACCACTGTCCCTTCTCCCAGGATTTTCCCAGGTGTCCTCGGGCCCCTGCTGTGCAGAGGGGCTGGGAAGGCACCTGTAGGGAAGCTGGCAATGGGTCCGGGGCAGTGGGACCGCTGCAGAGCGGGGCTGCCGGGAGCTGTGTCCTCTGGCGTCAGGGAGCTCATCCTGGGCTCGTCCCCTGAGCGAGCTCACTGCGGTGTGGGCTGTGGGTCAGGGGTGGTCTGGGGCTGCGGAGCACTCTGTTTATAAAGTGTGTGAGACCCACGCTGCTGTCCCTCTTGGTGCTGGGGCTGGGGTCACCGAATGAGACGGGTGGCAGTGGCAGTGAGGGCACCATCCTTCTGCCGGTTCCATTTGCACCGTCCCCGCACGTCAGCGCAGCACGCAGCCGGCGGCTGCCCGGCGCCCCTTTGTTCGAGCGGTAATTAGCCTAATGGGGCCACGCGGAGCTGACCCGAGAGCTGCCGTTGTTGGGAGCGGTTGGCGCTTCCCCCGGCGCTGACCTTCACGCGGCTTTGTGGGGCTGCGGGTCCCTCGGGTAATTATGGCTTCATTAGTGCCACGCACCCCGGTCCCGCGCTGCACCCACATAATACAGAGCCACAAATGAGGGGAAAGGCCTGACCGGTTTCCGAGCTACCGACAACAAAGACCACGCATCTCCCAGAGACCGGACGGTATTTTTGGCAGCGCTATTGTGCGGGGCCGGGGGCTGGGGGGGGCTGCCCCTATAAAGCCCCGGTGTGCGGCTCAGGGCTGCGTTCCTCAGCCCCAGCAGGACATGCGCCAGCGCCGCTCGGCCACCTGAAGACACCCAGAAGGATGGAGGTGCCCAACACCAAGGTGGGGCTGGGGGTGGTCAGGGGCACTGCTGGGGTCTTGTGAGAGCTGGGCCGGTTCCCCGGTGAACGGAGGTCGGGGGGCTCAGCCCTGCCTGAGTTCCCTGCGGGACGCACGCAGCACCGTGCTTTGGCACGAGCCAAGTGTGGCTGCTCCCGCTGCTCCTCCGCAGCACTCGGTGACGAGGGGAGGGCGCAGGCTGTGTGCCGGCACAGGTAAGTGCTGGCGAAGATATCTGCAGCCAACTCCTGCTCACAGTGTGGTTTCTGGGCTGGGATGGCGGGGCAGGAGCGAATCTCCTTGGGGTCCCCTCCGCCCCCGATGTGCCCCAAAGAGGCGATGCTGCGGGTGCTGCGGCAGCGGAGATGAGCGGGCAGCCTGCAGGGGGGGAGCTGAGCCCTGTACCAACGCGGCCGTTGTCTGGCAGCTGCAGCGATCCGCCTGCCTCCTGCTGCTGCTGCTGCTGCTCTGCTCCCTGGCCGGGGCCCGGCAGAGCCTGCCCGAGTGCTGCCGGCAGAAAACCTGCTCCTGCCGTATCTACGACCTCCTGCACGGCATGGGCAACCACGCCGCCGGCATCCTCACGCTGGGCAAGAGGAAGAGCATCCCGCCGGCATTCCAGAGCCGGCTGTACCGCCTGCTGCACGGCTCCGGCAACCACGCGGCGGGTATCCTCACCATGGGCAAACGTGAAGAGCGCCCCTGCACCGCCTGCCGCGACGCGCAGAGCTGCGCTGTGGGCACTCAGCCGACGGTGACCCCGAGGGGCGCTGCTGCCAGCCCCAGGGAGTGCCAGGAGCACGCCGAGAAGGACCTGACCAAGGGCAGGGGAGCGGCGAAGAGCTTTTACTGAGATGGGCTGCGGGGCGGGGAGGGGTCCGCGGGGGGATCAGTGCAAATAGCGCTTTTAAATACCTGCCTGTGGCCCCGGCCAAGGCTGCTCGGCACACTTGGCCTTTTACAATAAACGGTAGCCCGATGTCAGCCGGCTCCGCCTCGTCCCTGCAGGGGCCCGGAGGCACGGCTCTGCCGCGGGGCTGCGGTCCCGCTGCCGGCCCCGGCCCGAGGGTGGATCCCGCCCCTCCCGGGGGGGGCCGTTGCCTCCCGGAGCAGCGGGTACAGAGCGGGACCCGGCGCGGCGCCTCCCGGGGCAGAACCGCGCGTAGCCGAGCAGCCGCCGGTGCCCGCCGGTGCCGACACCCCTCCGGTGCCCGGGGCGGGGCTGGGGGCGGAGCTGAAGCCCAGGGCGGGCCGGGCCGAGCCGGGATTACCCGCGCCGTTGGGGCAGCACCGGTTCCGCAGCCCGGGGCGGGCGGCCCGGAGCGACGATGCCGGTGATGAAAGGTCTGCTGGCTCCGCAGAACACCTTCCTGGACACCATCGCCACCCGCTTCGATGGCACACGTAGGGCTGCGCCCCGGGACCTCGGCGGGGGGCGGGCAGGGAGAGGCGGTGACCCTCGGGGAGACATCGGAGCCCCCGGGGCTGGGCAGTTCGCGCGGACCCCAGGCTGTCTGTCCCTCAGCAGGGCTCAATCCCCTCCTCTACGCGCAGCAGGCCGGGAGCGTCCCGTTGTCCCGTTCCCCGCTGTCGGTGCGCCGGGAGGACCCCGGCCCCGCTCAGCATCAGCGACAGAACGAAGGCGGGGCTGACGGGGGTCTCCGCGCCCCTCCTGCACTGATTGCCGTCCCCGGGAGGGCGCGCAAGAGGCGGCCCCGGTTCAGGGCTCGCCGTGCGGAGAGCAGCGCCCTGCTCTGCCCCAGCCCCAAATTCCCGGTGTGCCAGCAGCAGCCGGATCTGGAGCCCCCTAGGGATGGGTGGGAGCAGGGAGTTGGGTGCTACCCTGGGAACCCCCGGCACTGCGGGATGCCATGGGATGGCCACGCAGCACAGCGCCTGCCTGCTGTACCCGTGGCACATGGCATTCTGGCTACCAATGTGGTTTGGAGCTCCACAGCCCCGCTGTTGCACGGCGCCGGCTGTCGATCCCCACCTCCTGGAGTGTAGGTGATGGGCTGGGTTCTGCCTGCCGCGAGAGCATCTCATTTGCTTGCAGCCAGCACTGGCTCATCTTAAAGGTCCCTTCCAGCCCAAGCCATTGCATGGAGCTGCGTCCCTGGGAGATGTGGGCACTGGCAGCAGTGTGCTATGGCAGAGTGTGGAGCAGAGCCCAGCAGTGCCTATTCTGGAGCCAATTCCTGCAGCTGGAGGTGCTGGAGTAGCCCAGGAGCTGGGTTCCTCCCTGTCTCCATGCCCCTGTGCTGGGGCCAGGACAGATTGAAGCCCCGGCACGTTGGAGCGGGGATGATGTGGGGATGCAACATGCCAGCTTCCGGCAGTATTGGCACCGTGCAGCCACTCAGGAATGGGCTGTGACCATAGCCAGCCCCACGCCTCCCCAGAATCTTCCAGGCCTCCCAGGATTTCCATCTCTTGCTGTGCTGGGACTGCTCTGATGATGCTTCGAGCCAGGAGCATGCCCACACTGAGAGTTTGCCCCACAGAGCAAGGTTGAGCAACAGCACCCTGCCTTCGATGGCTTGAACCTGCCCTACGGGTGCTTTTAAACAGTGTCTGGCTTTGTGGGTTCGATGTGTCTCTTATCGGCTTTATCTGCCATGGAGAGGGGCTTTAGCTGCAGTGATACGTGGCACGACTTAACCCTGCCTCTCCCACACAGCTGCTGCCTCATAGGCCCTGCATTGCTCGTCCAGGCAAGCCATCACCACAGCGGGGCTGCAGTCCCCTTTGTGGCTGTGCTGCTCCCCAGTGAGAGCCTTTTTTTTCCTTTCTAATAACACACCCTGGACACCATAGTAATCCCAGCTCCCCAGAGCAAAAATCTGGCCTTAGTCACAGCTATTTTTGCTTCTCCAAGCTAATCCGGGGTTGAGCTGTACTGTGGTGGCCCTGCTGCACCTCCCATCGCACCAGGGCTGTGTGTGGCTCCCTGCTGCCCTTGCCCAGGCTGCTCTGTCCTGGCATGGCTTTGCACTGTAATCTGCTGTGGGCCTCCCTCCCCTGTGCTGTGAAATGGGAAGGTGATGTTTTTCTGGGTGCTGGGGGTGTGGAATGCAGGGATGCTGGGCTGCGACCCTCGGGCTTGAGACTGCATCCGGATGGTGGCCCCCGTTCTGCCCTCGTTGTGAATGCAGACCCTGCTGGCCGTTCATCCCACTTCCTTGCTGCCCTTGTGCACACCCTTCCCTGGGCTAAAGCACAAAGCCATCTGGCTGGCTGGCACAGAGCCTCCAGCCAGCGTGTGCAGCCCTGCTGATAGAGCCCAGCCCAGGGCTGTCCTGCGGGGCAGGGCTGGCGCTGGCAGGCAGCGAGCATTGCAGTGCTGTGGCAGCCAAGAACACTGCATTTCTACACGCCTCTATCCTTCCCTGGCTTGGAGTGGGCTCAGGGCTTGGTGGCATCGCTCCCACCTCTCTGCTGGGCGGGGGGCCACAGGGGCTGGCACTGCCTGTCCTCATTGACTGTCCCCTGCTAAGCTCCACACCCAGCAGGGAGGTGGGAGCAGCAGATGGTGAGGGGGAGGCGCGGATCACCTCGTGTGGGATCGTGGCTCGTTGCAAGGAGAGCCAGAGGCTGCAGGGAGCTCCTTCCCCTCACAGTGTGGTGGGGCTGGGCTGGGGTCCTGCCTGTGGCTGGGGCCTGTGGGGTGGCAGAGCAGGGGGGGCCCGCCATTGGGATCTCCCCACGCAGGGCACAGCATGGGCTGTGTTTCCCCATGGCTCTGCTGGCGCTGGGTGAGTGCGGGGCGTGCAGCCACCTGCTGTGTGTCCCCTGGTGCAGACGGCGATGTGTGGCCACTGCTCTGCTGGGGAGGAGAGGGGGTGCCCACTAGAACAGCCCCGAGCCCTCAGGGGCTGCTGTGTCTCCTTTCAGACAGCAATTTCATCCTGGCCAACGCTCAGGTCCGCCGTGGTTTCCCCATTGTCTACTGCTCTGACGGTTTCTGCGACCTGACCGGCTTCGCCCGCACCGAGGTGATGCAGAAGAACTGCAGCTGCCGCTTCCTCTGCGGGGCTGAGACCAGCGAGCCCGTCCTGCAGCACATCGAGAAGGTGCTGGAGGGCAAGCAGGAGCAGCAGGCCGAGGTCTGCTTCTACAAGAAGGGTGGTGAGTGGCACAGGCGCGGGGCCCCGTGGGCAGCTCTGGACAGAACTCAGCCCTCGGAGGGGCTTCCTGCTGACCCTTTCCTCTCCTCCACGCAGGAGCTGCGTTCTGGTGTCTGGTGGACATCATGCCCATCAAGAACGAGAAGGGGGAGGTGGTGCTCTTCCTTGTCTCCTTCAAGGACATCACAGAGAGCCGGGGCAAGAGCCATCCAAGCGACAGGAAGGAGGGTGAGCCGTAGTGGTGGGGTGGGGATGGGATTCGAGGCTCACAGCCGTGTGTGTGGTGGACATGTGCTG